TGAAGCCAAGTTTTCCCGGATCGTGTATCGAAAGGAGGGCGATGATGCACCAAATATGGACCTAATAGTCGCAGAAGAAGAAGAAGAGAGACAAAACGAGACTCAAGCAGAGTCATCTCGAGCGGGAGGAAGTCGAGCCACGGAGCCCGTCACTCGTCAACGGAGGACTCGTCCAAGAGAAGAAGCACCGGAACCTTCTTGGGTGAAGAAGATCTTCGATACTCTCACGTGCATCCGAGATGACGTTCGCCAGCTCAACGAGAGGATGACTCGTCTTGAGCAATCTCGCTCCTACCGTGGCCCGCGTCACAGTTTTGGCGGAGGAGCTCGTCCGGCGAACTCTCTTTGATTATTATTTTTTTTCCTCTTACTTGATTATGATACATTGTTATTTGTTATGACTCTTTTGGTTGATGATGATGTTCCTTTCGATGATGCTAGTTGATATTAACTGCTTGTGTATTAATATCATTACTGGTTTGGCAATATTGTTCTTATTTAGAACATATTGTCCCTTTGTGGCATTTTTTTAAGAGTTCTCTTTTAAAGAAAACTCTTGCCATTTTTTTTCTTCCTTCAATATCCCGGCATTGTTTAAGGGGGAAGGTTATCGGTTGATAATGCCAAAAGGGGGAAGGAATGATAGTTGAGAATTTTTTTTCCCGCTTATTACTCCGATTATTATTTTTTACTGCACTTCTCTAACCTTGCAGGGGAAATTTTTCTGAAAAGGAAGTAATTTCTGAACTCTTACTTTGCTCTTTCTCAACTATGTTTGTCATTATCAAAAAGGGGGAAATTGTTGGACATGAGTTCAAACCCCTTTACTATTTCTTCTGGAATATTTTTTGTTTTGATGAATGACAAACAGGATGATTAATTTCAAGCTGATCGAAAATTTATTTTCGTATTGAGAAAAGCAAAGAAGGGTATCAAGAAGTTTACGGCAATAAAAAAAATATCGACGATCCTCCTACGCAGATTTTTTTGAAGTGAAGTGAAGACTCCGAAGACTTTTTTATTTTTTATTGAGTCTAGGATTCCTGTAAGGATGACAATAACTTTTGCATAAACAAATTAATTTCTGAGGGATAAAAATTATTATTTCTTGAGTCAGTTGAAAAATTATTTTTTCTCTGTCCAAAAATATTTTACTGAGTGAGTTTCAAAATAAGTGTGTCAAAGTTTCTTAAAAATATTTTTTTTAAGATTACACAATTTTTTTTGTTAAGAAAAATATACTTTAAATATTTTTCGTGTACATCTTTTGACACACAAAATAATTTTTTGAACTCACTTTTTCTCCCCTATTCAAATTCATTGAATAAGGGTTATCAATGAGCGTGCATTGATTCCCATTGTCTCAAACAATCGTATGAAGCCAAAGGCTTCAGTCGCAAATAGGCTTGGGCCCTTTATGTTTGCACAGCATTTTGAAATTAATCGATTTTCTCTTCCTTTTTAATCGATTAACAGACTTCTAGTTCGATTCCCAGGATCGCCCAATAATCGATTAAAGTTCTTCATTTAATCGATTTGTTAGCACAGATTCACCTAATCGATTATTTTCTTCAGTTTAATCGATTAATACCTTACCAAATTTCAGGCTTTTTCGCGTCTGTGTACCTTAATCGATTAATAGTTTCACTTTAATCGATTATTTTTATCTGGTGCATGTTCTGGCTTGCTCAAACGGCTTTATTTTTCCTCAGCCTATTTAATCCCTCATTCTCCTTCATTTCTAACACATCTCTTGCACTCCAAAAATATTCCTTGAGCTATATTCATCCTTTGCTTCATCTTCCTCATCAAAATATTATTTTTTGAGAGTTAGAAATATTTTCTTTAAGTGCTTAAAGAAGTTGTCATCCATAGAGCTTTAATTCTTCAACACTACTTTGCTCAATTGTGTGAGCTTTCATTTTTGTGTTGTAAACTCAATCTCATTTGAGTGTTGTTCTTAAGACTTGTGTGACTCAAGTCTTGTTGTTGTAAGAAAGTGAGGCTTGTGTGATTCAAGTTCTCAAGTTGTACCGATTTTTCAAGCACTCGTTGAAGCTTGAAGATTAGTAGGACTTTCGAGAGAGTTTCTCGGAGGACTGGACTAGCCACGAGGTGGTGAACCAGTATAAATCTCGTTGTTCTTCTTTCCCTTACTCTCTTTATTTATTCCTGCGGTTTTATTATTTCACACTCGCGAAAAACGCACATTCTTGAGAACAACTCTATTCACCCCCCCCCCTCTAGAGTTGCACATTTGTCTAACATAGAAGACTGGAGATATACAAGACGAACAACACAATCAATTTTCACAGTTAGCCAAAAAGCTTGATAAAGAGAGATTTCTAAACTCCTTATCCAGAAGCAAACTCCTCCTTCTTCCAAAGAGCTATAGTGTAAACATTTGAAGGTTTCCTTGCCCAAGTAACACACCACGTTGAAGGATACAACTTTTAATCAAACTTCTTGATTAAAACGGGGCACATCAACTTTTCATAAAGTTGATCTTGCAAGTCCTATTGTTCAGATCTTGCAGTTGTTGAAGAAGCGTGACCTTCGAAGGAACAACAAAGCCAGCACGAGTGCAGTAACAACATTAGCCTTGCGAAGATATATCGTGCAGAAATTCACACAAGTGTAATTGCTGGTTCATTATTCAACAACCAACTACATAGTGGATTTTGAGGACGTAGAAGGATTACCCCACCTTCAAACCTCGTTAAAGTTTGCGTGTCTCCCTCTTTTATCTTTACTTATACTTGTACTTACATTAACTGTGAAACTAACTCATCCATATTGATTACTGTTCTAATAACCCACCAACTTCCGCACAAAATCTAAGTTCACAAGAACTTTAGATTAATACTCATTTTCACGTTTTCAAAAGAAACAAAAAAAGATTTTTTTAAATTTGTAACAAAGTCTATTCACCCCCCTCTAGACTTTGTATCTCACCACTTTGGGACCACCAGCTTGGACAATAGTTTTTTGAGTCTGTCACTCAATATTCTGGTTGTAATCTTGCTAAAGAAAGTGGACAAAGAAATGGGTCTAAACTGATCTAGGGTGATGGCAGACTCATTTTTAGGGATAAGAGTAATTAAAGTACTGCCAAAGACTCTTGGCAGCTTGACCCCAACAAAGAATTCCTGGACAGCCTTACAAACATCAAGTTTGATGGTATCCCAGCACTACCTATAGAAGAAACCATTAAACCCATCACCACCAACTGAGCTATTAGGATTTAAACTCTAAACTGTTTTCCTGATTTCCTCCTCCTCTGGAATAGATCCCATAAGTACATTATCCTGATCAGTCAAAATAGGCTGTATTTGACTTAGAATTTCCTCCATGTCCCCCACATAACTACTTTCAAAAACCTTCTGGAATGATCAATAGCTGCCATAGAGATACCATCCAAAGAAGAGGTGAGCCCATTCGAAGTTTTCAAAGATGAAATGTGAAGTCTTTTCCTTCTGCCCTTAACAAATGCATGAAAGAAAGTCGGAGAAGCATCACCCTGAGAAATCCATTTAATATTGGCTTTTTGAGCCCAAAAAGCCTCTTCTTTCTTATGATCCTGTTGAAGGAGAGCCCTAGAAAGCTTAAACTCTAAAAAGTTTTCCTCACAATAATCCAATTCAAAAGCTGCCTCAGCCTTTTCAGCTCTGGTTTCAGCTTTTGACACCTCCTCAAAAATATTACCAAAAATTTCTTTATTCCACTTAAGAAGGCTCTTCTTAAAATGGTGTAATTTATCAGCCAGTCCCCTCATCCCCCCTCCATCATATCTTTTGTCCCAAGAGGATTGCAATAACTCCTGGAAAGTAGGATAGGAGCACCACACATTTAAAAATCTAAAAGGCTTAGGACCAGTTGGTGGAAGATTATGACATCTAAGTAAGATTGGCCTGTGATCTGAATTCCCTCTTCCCAAATGTCTGATCTCCAGAGATTGATACCAATCCATGCACCCCTCATTTACCAAAACCCTATCCAACCTTCTGCACACATTTCCCCTACCCCTCTTCCCAACCCAAGTGAAAGAGCTCCCCAAAAAAGGTGCGGAGACCAACTCACAGTCACTAATAGTTTGGGTGAAATCCTCAATGCTTCCCATGTCTGGACCAATAGGGTCTTTATGCTCAGATATGATAGCAACCGTATTAAAATCCCCACCAAGAATCCAAGGACCAGATCTAGGAAAAAGAGATCGAATAGAATCCCATAATTCCCTCCTCTCAAGTCTAGTATGTCTGCTATATATACTAGAAACCCAGATCAGAGAACCATCCTCAACCACTTTAAAGCCACATCTGACTATCTGATTGTCCTCAATAAGGGTATGCAAGAAGAGCTTACTGTCCTCCCAAAGAAACCATAACTTATTATCAAGAGCTTTAAAGCCTTTAGGAAAACCAGCTTCATTTTATACTAATCAAGGTGAACACCATCAACCAAAGGTTCCAAAATGGAAATAAAATAAAAATGATATTTTTTGTGAAGAGAAATAAGGCGAGAGATGGAAGAATGTACACAACGAATATTCCAAAAGAGACCTATCATTTAGATGCCAGGATAGAGAATCTGTTTGAGGCCATATGCTTTGTAACCATATTATGCCTACGTCCAAGATTCTCAGGAGATGGAGTAACATACTTCTTCAATCTCTGATCTTTTTTGGAAGGGGTCAAAACTTCAACAACATCATCAACCTCAAAAACCTCTGCAGGGAATTCAACAGCAATAGGGTTTTGTTCAAAAGGGATAATAGCCATGCTGTCATCAACTAGAAAATCTTCTTGATAGGGGATCCGAATGGAGTTATCAAAGAGAAGCTGCAAAGTAAAAGCTGAAAGAATAGTTGGATATGTGATAGAGTATGATTGAACATCCTCAATCTTAGATGTGTGAGTTGCCTCAGGGCTGTAGCTGGGTTGAGATGTAGTAACAGGAACCATATCCTTCATATTGTCATTTACTTTAGAACATTCCCCTGGCCCTTCCAACCATGGTCCCTTATTGCTAGGTTCCTTGACCCTCCAGGTCCATGTAGTATTGTTCTTAGTCTTTCCTTTCTTGGGTTGAACAACCTGCCATCCAGTATCCCGCTCCTCCAAAAGACAAGATTTGGACCCATGTTTCTCCTTATCCATATTCTGTCCATCCAAACCCTCGAAGGGTTTCCAGCGTGGGCATGAATCATGGACATGGCCAATATTTTTACAATGATTACAAAAGGATGGGACATGTTCAAAATAAAAAGGAAAGATGAGCTCTTCACCACCATGGCTAATAAGAATCTTAGGGGGAGGAAGATTGGAGATATCAACCTCCACACAACATCGTGCAAGTTCAGGCCTCGTGAAATTTAAAGTATGCATGTCAATTTTTAGTGGCGTACCAATGGTAGAAGCAATAATCCTTAAAGCCCTTTTATCATGCAGATGAATGATTAGGGAAAGCAATTTAAACCGGCATAATAGGATTATCATATTCCTGAGAAAGTGAGGGACACCACTTTGACAACGTCATAGTAGAGCCATGCACAAACCAAACTCTCTGCATGAAAAGTCTTACGTAATCATCTTCGTTTTTAAAATTGAGGAGAAAACGCTGCCTAGAAAGAGATGAGATCTCACATGTCTCCGTCAGCCCAAGACGTTTGATAAACCGATCCATAGATGAGAATGATGGACGTTCTTGAAACTTGGAAACCAAGGCAAGTTTAAACCTACCAGCCAGTTCAAAAATATCCTCCTTAGTAAAAGTGACAAATGGTATTCCTTTGAAAAAACTTGTCGCTTGTCCTTGAAGTGCTTTACCCGGGAAACCTACAACCACAACCTCAAAGAAGAGGCGATTGCCGGCCGGAGACCTGGGTGCTGCATGCTGATCGCTCGTCCCTACCATATTTTTTGTGCAGGTTGAGCCGGGGGTCTCTTGGAAACAGCCTCCCTACATCCGAGTAGCAGCAAGGTCTGCGTACACACACCCTCCCCAGACCCTACTGTAGTGGGATTCAACTGGGTTGTTGTTGTTATATATATATATACACACACACACATACATTACATACATACATACATACATGCATACATACAAACATACATACACACACATACTAGTATTTTAACCCGTGCCAAGCACGGGATAGTACAAAATTGTTTGTGATTCTACAATATAAAATATTAAAATGACTTTGTTTGTTTATGAGACATATCATTTAGACATCAAATATAAATGATCTAGGTTTATGGAATTTATAATCTATAATTTTTATTCCCGTATAAATTTAAAAAAACCCAAAAAGAGTAGTGATTCTATGAATCTTTTTCCTCAGCATAAATTTTAAAAAAACTTGAATTACCGATCTTATGATTCTACAATTAAAAACATTGATCCCCCCACATTAATTGAGATTAGCGAAAAAAATGATTCCCCCACGCATTGAATACAAAAATTGATTCATCTCTATTGCATTATTTAAAAATAAAATAATGGATTAGCGATCCTATGACTCTACTATTAAAAATATTCATTTGAAAACAATTAAAATACAACAATTCTTCTCCCCCGCATCAGTTTTGAAAAAAAATATTAATAAAAAAGTAGTGCTACAATGATTCTGAAGGGACTAAGAGAAAGAATAAAATAGAAATAAAATATAAGAAAATAACCAAAATAGAATCTTTATGTTTTATCTGCAAAATAAGAACTATAATATCAATAAGACCAACATATAATACAAAAATTTCAATGAAATGTCAATATACAGTGTCACATTATATTGCAATAGTACCATTTTGTAGATAAAAACATGTGACTCTTATTTTGTAATACTTTTTACTTCTATTTTTGGTTGATTTCTGAAGGGAAATTTACAAACAAATTACTATTTTTTATTCTTTTTATTATTTTTTGCTTTAAAATGTAAAATCATTGAAACACATAGTAGCATTCTGATCAATACAAAATATTCTAACAAAATATAAATAGTTGCAAATTGGAAATTATATTTCTCTTTGATGTGCTTTGTATCCAAGTTTTGATCTTATTCGTTTTTGCACCTTGGATCTTCTCCGCACTTTTTCTTGCTTTATTTATTGCCTTTACACCCATCTTCATTGTCACAAACCTTCTAGCACTCACCTCCGCAACTTGATCTCCTTATCACAATTCTTTTGCACACATCTATGTCATCTTTCTCTGTTTCACAAAACACTATCGTATGTAGTTTCGATGTACAAATATGCAAATGATTTAAAATACAAACTTATTTGGATTAAAATAGTAAGTCGAATTACCAACATAAATACAAAATTCATATTAAATATTTATTTGATTTAAAGACTTGATTATTTTAAATAGTAGTCAAAGCATTTCTTATTTTATATAATTTTAAAATAGAGATTAAAATATATTTTTTTATTTTACATCAATGTTTAAATAAATAGAGTAAAAGTTATCTTCATTTCGGCATATCATAAAAAATATGAAACTTACTCAAAGTATTATTATAAATGAAGTAAAAAAAATATAATATTAAGAAAGAATACTCTAATAAAAATGAGGATCTCTATTCCATATTTAAAATTTGTCAATGATGGTGAAACAGCAAGCAATGCCTGTGTAAACATAAGAAGTCATGGTGACACATTTGTTTCTAAATTGTATTCAATAATGTAATTAAAATTATTATCATATACTGATAAATAGTTAAAAATAATATATTTTTTTCTCTATTTTTATATACTCGAATCTCGATCAAATGAGCACCAATGGTAGTTAAATCATACCATAAACTTAATATACTCGATCAAATGATCAAATTATATATAATACTGTTTTCTCTATTTAACACTTTTATATTTCAATCATCCCTTATTTTATACTTTCTCCGTTCCAAATTATATTTCCTATTCGAGCGACATGCAAAATCTCGTGAATTTCACAATGATTTTGTTTACAAATTGGTATATAAAATAAAAAAATTAAATATTTAAAAATTATATTAAAAGTTCTATAAAATAAGAGGTAAGAGGTGAAAAAATGTTTTATTTTATCAAATGATCAATGAAAACATGCAAACTAACAAAAGTTATTGAGACGTTGCAATAATAAAGAGGTAAATTATTTTGAGATAGAACGAGTTAAAATTTATTATAGTTTTTAAAATATTTTAAGTTTTAAATTTTACATCAATATTTAAATAATAAAATCAAAACTAACTTCATTTAAACATCTCATAGATAAATATGAAATTTATTAAAAGGTGAAGAGAGTATCTAATTTATTATTTTGAAATTTTGTTATATATGAAGAGAAAAAAATATAAATTAGGAAAGAATATTATCATATAAATGAAGACATTTTTCCATAATAAATTTACTCATTGATTTCAAACCAAACTATTACTTTATTATTTTCCACGTCACAAATTGTGTGGCATATTAAGTGTCAAAAAATGCCACATAAGTAATATATACAACATGTCGACTTTCTAGAAATTTAAATATTATTTTTATATATAAATGATATCTAAGTCATACAATCTAAATTTAGCTATAAATTTTTATGTGAAAAAATTGTAATTATAATTAGTCTTTTACATTTTAAAATAAAATCGTTTGACAATTCCAATAAAGTTCCATTGTAAAATAAGTTTTTTTGTGAAACATATCAAATGTGTGAATATAGATTTTCTATTTTTGAAAATAAATTTGTTTTATTTTTTTACTAAGGGAGGGTCACGGAGGACCAAGCTGGTAGCCTGGTTCCTCAGCCTGGTCAACCCTTCACCCCGCCACCACCTACGCCATTTTCCCCTTCCTGGAAAAGCCCTAAACATCACACCTATATTCATACCTTATGTTGCAGTCCATACGATTCCTTAATACGCATTGATTGAAATTAAACTGTTCGCAATTTGAATCTTTTCAATTCAATTCCCATTTCCCGGTAGGCTCCCGATGGCTTCAGAGATCGAGGTAGTTGAGGAGGTCGAAGTCAGAGATCAAGAATCTGCGGCGTCAACGTCGGCCGTTTCAGGCTCGGTGGTTGATGAGGAGAGCTTGAGGAACGACGTGTACACGGCTGCAGCCTATGGGGACATGGAAAAGCTGCATAGATTAGTCGAGCGCGAGGGTTGCTCGGTTTCTGAGCCAGATAGTCTTGGTTACTATGCCCTCCAGTGGGCCGCTCTTAACAACCACGTTGCTGCCGCACAATACATTATTGAGGTTCTTATTGACGATCTGCCTTGATTTGGGAATGCAATTTAATAACTATTACCCTTTTTGCTATATCTTTCATTTCCCCAACCTGATACGACTTTTATTGCTTCTATCTTGGGATTTTGGGAACCATATGAACCACTTAATGTGTGAATAAATTGAATCAAAGAAATTTAGTACAATGCAGTTTCTTAACCAAATCTGAAAAATGTTAGATATACATTTCATACAGTTACAATTTCATTAAAATTAGCATATTTTTCCAAATGATTTTTTAGGCTTTTACATTTATGCTTAGTCTGGAAAGAACAAGTTAATATGATATCTTTGGATGAGTGAACTTTATTGTCTTTACATTTGTAGAAGTTCCACTTTGCTTTGAATAGAAGAGGAGCTGAGTGTGTGCGTGCGTGTGTAGTAAGAGTGAGATATATTGATAGATAGATAAATAATACTGGTAATGATTTCATGATATTGGCAGCATGGAGGAGATGTTAATGCTGCAGATCATACTGGACAAACGGCTCTACACTGGAGTGCCGTTCGGGGCGCAATCCAGGTTGCCGAGGTCTTACTCCAAGAGGGTGCTCGATTGAATGCAGCTTCTATGTGTGGGTATCAGGTTTTGTATACTTGCTTTCTTAGTTAGCACAAGTGATATGCTTTCCACAGTAGTCTATACCATTAGTAAGAACGTTTGACACCACAATAAAGAATTTTAATGGTTCAAAAGTTTTAGAAGAATACACAGAAGAATACCAAAGCTACTTAACTAATACTCAAAGTTTGACCTTTTACATTGTAAAATAAATACTCCCACTGTCGTAGAATAATTTGCCCACTTTTCTTTTTCATCCACCCCAATGTAATTTACCCACTTCTCTCTTTCCCTTCTAAAAAAAGAATATGTTGTCCGAAATGCTTCTTTCTTTTCTGAACAAATTTTTTGTGACACACTTTTTACTTTTATACATGTTATCAACACTTCTCTTAATAATTGTGAAATCTAAATGGGTAAATTGTTCTGGGACAGACAGAGTATTATTTATAGGCAAACTAACATTAAAGAAATACTCCCCCCTGACCCCTCAAATTATTGACACTTTAACTTCATAGAGTTTAAGGAAAGTGTTGAATCATAAAAAATGTGTGGTTGAAATTTGTACAGAAGAATGTGAGAGAGAGAGAGAGCAAGCGAGAGAGAGAGAGAAAGAGTTGTTGTGAGGGACATATAACTTTTGTAAAAAGGAAATGTAAGAATTGTGAAGTGTATTTTGGGACAGACGTAGATGTAAAATGTGAAGTTCTTTTGGTGATGGAGGAAGTAAACATTTAAGAATAAAAATATTTGATATGAAAGAATTAAGAAGTTTGTCTTTTTGTATAGAATGTCTCCTGTGTCCAAGAGTTTCCAAATATCTATTCAAGACTTCCTTCGTGATCTTTAGGAAATAAATTTGCTTCCGAGCGTGCGTCATAAACTAGGAAACAAACACTGTCTTCCTATTCTCCAATAAAGGGCCTTCCTTGTAGTGTCCAAATTTTTCATTTTCTCAAGACTTTCATAGGATGAAAGCCCTTTTATTTTGGCCATAGTTGTTTATTGATGGACAAGCAAGGAGTTAAGTAGGCCAATTCTATCATTATCTAATTGTTGACTCTTCTTGATGTCCAATCATCATTCCAAAGTCTCATGACCTATGTAAATGATTGAATCATTGATCATCCTTGCATGGCTTGATTTCATGCAACCCTTGGATAGTTAGATATTGCTTTTATGGATCCTTGGATGGTCATTCAAGCTTTCCTTGGCCATTTTTGACCTCAACAGGTTTGCATTTGGATATGCAAATCTGCTGATTGATGTGAGATTCAATGGTAAGGATGGTAAGGAGATGCAGACATATTCCCATCATTTTCAAGCTACTATGTGGGTTTTTAAGTCTCCGAGTACCCATGACTTCTTTTCATACTGGATCACTTGTTTCTCTATGGCCAGAACCCATCTCATTTATTGTTTTAATCTCGTCTCATAGTCAAATATCCTTTTAAAATCAACCTAGAAATTTCCAGTATTTAATATTTACGTATATTGACTTATTGCTAACAAAAAATCTTAAATTGCATGCATATAACTATACAAGTCTGTTCTATATTTGATAGTTCATTAGACACACACCAGCGCTCATATATACCGAGTATATATATTCAGTATTTACTGTTTACTACTCCCTTTGCCCCATATTATTTGTCCTAGTTTGACTTTTACCCTTACTTTGACCACAAATCAAATATAATTTTAAATAAATAAAAGTTATAAAATTTGATATATCAAAACTACGTCTTAAACGAACCCAATTTTATTAAATTTAAATTAAATATTCTTTTCTCACAGTTTATGGTCAAAGTTAGCATAAAAGTCAAACTAGGACAAATATTTTTGGACAGAGGGAGTAGTTCACTATACCTAGGCGTGTGTACATGCTCGTGTGTGTATTTAAATGTCAACATATTTACACGCACGTGTGCGGGTGTGTATGGGTTATTCATTTGACTCGTAGTGGTTTTGAGAACTGGCACCCACAATGTTAATCTCAAATCAGTCTCCTCCCCAAGCCCCAGGGAGTTAGAATAATTTTCCATACTTGTTCTAGATCTCATTAGGGGTTTTAGAAAAATGCCCTTTCTATTACACTCAACCGTTTTCCATCTTTATAGATGTGCCAATTTGCTTCCATAGTTGCCAAAGCTCGGCACCACAGCCACATAACAAAGTTTGATTATCCTTGTGCATCCCGTGCAAATTTGGTGATGTCATCAGAGGTTACTTCTCTGATTATTTAGCATTCTCAATAAGTGCATGGCTTGCATTTTTCAGTCTCTTGATTTTTCCATTGATACCAAAGATGTTGAATGTTAGTGCAAGAATAAAGAGATTAAATTAGAGTTAATATATTTGGACATGGGAAAAGTCATTGTGTGTGTGTAAGGGCGTCTTTCAATGTTGTAAGAGGAGTAGTTTAATGGCAAGCTGAGGCCTTCCTAGGAGTGGTCTCTGTGGGTTCATGCAGGGCACAAGTGGGGATAGGTGGGGCTAATTTGGGAGAAAGGTGGTCAATGGAATCCTAGTAACCAGTCATGGATTTTTAGAACAGATTCAGTTTGTATTTTTTTATATATTTAAAGAATCACATTCCACATCCCAGTAAAAGAGAAAAGACATAGAGGGACCTCTTTGGTAAATCAGAAAGCTACTAGTCCCTTTTAAGACAAGTACTATTAGTTGAATTCATCATTCCTACATTCTATATGTTCAAGACTTCAAGGATAATTCTAACTAAAGAAGCTCCGCTATAGTTAATTAATTAATTATTTTGTTTATTATTTGGATACACGATGGCAAGTATATGCTTGGAATGCAAGGGACACTAATTAAGATCAATAGCTAGTTGCATCCTTGGTACAACTCTTTTCAAGCATGAACTTACTTCTGCATCATGAGTCCACCTTTGGAATAAGTTTATCTACATAGTTTCTCTATGAGCTTCCTTACCACAATATCTATTTTAATACTATGAACAAAACATTGAAGGAACTAGCTTTTCCCTATTTAGTCACTATGCAGGGTAGGAATTGAAAACTCCATGCATATCAAAATATCCGGCCATCTGTGCTTTTATTAGTAAGAAATAACAAATGAATGCTATTTTGAAGTATTAATGCATTTTGTTTGCACGTAAAACTATCAATAAAATTAGCAGTTCTCTAGTTTCATGCTCCTGTGGAGCAGTAAGAGTTGAGAGCAATAAGAGTTAGGAAAGTAAAAAAAGTTCTTATTCCATTCTGCTTTTAGGAAATAGTTTTAGATTACCACTCTTTTAATTTACTTTTAGAATAGTCACATAAAGAGACATTTACTTTTAAATATTAAAATATATTTATACGTAATGCCAATTTAATTTAAAGGAAATAATTGTAAAAGAATCATAGTGTTAGATAGTGACTCATACTACAAAGATACCGTCACATAAAGTCATCATCAACAAAGACTCAAAGAGTCATAATGACGTGTGCAGGAATGTATGATGTATATGTTCTTTTGCCGTTGAGATTTGATGTGCATATGAAGATGGGCACACTAGGTTTGTTTTTTTTACGGTGGAAAATGTCCTGTTGGTTAACTTGATGTTGACCAATGGTTTTGAGAAATGCTGCAAGAAGCACTGCAAAGCGGTTGGGCTTTGTTGCAGAAGGGGCATAGTGGGGTGTTTAACGAGTCTGCAGCCTAGCAGTTTTAGACCCTTGTTCTCATTTTCTTGCCCTTTTTCTTATACTCTCTCCGTCTCGCAATGAAATTTGAATTTACACTTCTTTTCCGTCTGACCCAAAATAAACTTTACACCTCCAATTTGTTTTTAGGAAAGGAATATGTGGCTTATACCAGTACTCTCTTTTCTAAACAATTCTTACTGCACACTTTTTACTTTTCAACACTTTTCTTAAACTGTGTGAAGTCAAATTGTAAATATCATTGTGGAGCGGAAGGATTATTTGGTAACAGGTGCAGCATTTTACAGATATTTCCAATTAATTATAAATGTTGTTCTAAGAGAAGGATTGTGCCATTGTCCACAGGCAACACATGTAGCTGCTCAGTATGGTCAGACAGCATTTCTTTATTATATAGTTACAAAATGGAATGCAGATCCTGACGTTCCTGACAATGATGGGAGAAGCCCATTACACTGGTATTCAATTCTAAGCATTGTTTTAGCTTTTTAATTAGTCTTGGACTATTATGTGGCACATTATCTTTACAACTGTGTATATTCCACTAAAGGAAAGTATGTTCGTGTAAAATGCTAAAATATGTGGCTGTGGGCTAAACATTACATAATACATGAGGCAATTTATCTTCTGCATAAAACCATTTTCACTTTCTATCAATTGATCAGGGCGGTTCAATTGTTTTTATGTGTTAATTGGAAAAAGAATAAAAGAATACGTTCATTTCTTTGTTGAGGGCAGTTCCCAATGTCATGGGATGACCCGCGACCACTATAGTGTTCCATTCAAAAAATTGGCGGTTCCTATCCCCGGTAAACCTCCACCCGGCCTGACCCGAACTCACCCCTACCCCCTTCAATTGCACCCCGCAAATTTAGGTGACTTTGGAGTAAAAATTTAGGGGGGTAGAATTGAAGGGGGTGGGGGGTGGGTCGGGTTAGAGAAGGGGGTTTACGGGGGGTAGGAACCATCAAAATTTTCGAATGGGGCCCGTGTCATTGAATGACATGGGGGGCGGGGCTAATGTCAGCCGAATGCCCCCCCCCCACCCCTCCACTATGTTTTTTTTGTCTTTGTAGCGTGTTTTTCTCCACTTGTGGGTTCTTAATTTTAGTATACTGGAAGTCAAGCCAAACCCATTACTGATGGAGATGGTACTTAACAAATGGTTCTATATTATGTATAATGAAAATGGTAGTATTATTTGATTGTCACTGTATAAGGTCTTGATGTGTTATTGCATTTACTTCTATTTGTCTTTTCTTTGTTTTCTTAATTTATGTTAAAAATTAGATTCATGTTCTTTTGGTCTCGGAACCTATAGGGCTGCATACAAGGGTTTTGCTGATTGCATACGTCTCTTGCTATTTTTGGATGCATATAGGGGACGACAGGATAACATGGGTAACCTTAAATATTAAAAAACCCAGTTTTCTGTTACTGGATTGTTTAGAGTTTCTTAAGAGAATTGGTACTTACCAGTTAATTCTCTAGGATGCACTCCTCTTCATTGGGCCGCTTCCAAGGGCCACTTGGAAGCATGCACGTTGTTGGTGCAAGCAGGGAAGAAGGAAGACCTAGTGGTGATGGATCACACTGGCGTTACACCTGCCCAGCTTGCTTCTGATAAAAATCACCGACAAGTTGCTTTTTTCCTTGTAGGTATTCTTTCCTACAGTCAATTTCTTGTTGACCCAGACGTCATTCTTACTGCCCAACATTTAAAAAAATTACTGGGCTGGGCCTTTCACTACTCTTCCTATTTCAAGCTGTTGTAGATTTGTAGTTCATATTTGCTCCCACATTTGTATTTTGCTTGACCTGCTTGACTTTTCCTTGTTGCATATTAATACTTATGAACACCATTATAAAGGCAAAGTGCTCCTACGTAGATGAAAGAAGTTACTCCGTGTATAAGGATCAAGTTCTGTCCGTAAAGACACATCCTGACAAATTTTGCCATTATGTGACTTCTGTCTCTAGCAGCCAAGTCTTTTTACCTAGATACATCTACACTGATTAGTGATCTTGTTTGGTAAATCCGTAAATGGCTAATCATCTATTTCTTTTGGCTGTTAGACCACTTTTGGCTGGTTTGATTGGTATGATTTTTAATCAACCTCAACCAAAAGTTTAAAAATTTTGGCTGGTAGGAGACACCAATGACATCAGTGTTTGCTGCCAGCGATTCCCTTCCTCACAATTCAACAACAACAATCCCACTATAATCCCACACATGGGGTTTGGGGAGGGTAGGATGTACGGTGGTGCAGGGGTTGTTTCCAATTATGTTTACAAAATTGCAGATGATTTGGCATCCTTTACATTTCAATTTTTTTGTCCTCTCCCTTTGTTGAGCTTTATTTTTATTTTACGACTCTTTCAAAATCTACTTCCTCTATCCTATTATTTTTGTCCAACTAATCCCTCCGTGCCTAAATAAAAGTCCTCAAGGGAGTTGCGAGGTAAAAAGTTTTTTGATTAATTTTATTTTAAAATTGGTGTAAAACTAAAAAATCAAAATTTATACATTTAAAAACTACATCAAAAGTTCTATAAAATAAGAGGTTTTATTTCATTTTATCAAATACAACAACAACAAAAACCCAGTTTCATTTTATCAAATGATCAATGAAAATGCATAAACACACAATAGTTATCATGATCTTGGAATACTAACAAGGACTTTTATTTTGGGACAGAGGGAGTATTTTTTTCCTTTTCACATTTTGGTCTGTTACTAAATGCACAAAGTTGCGGTTATACTGTTTTTGTTGTTGACTTGTGGCCTTTCACAAAATAGATTTCTCATTCCATATTTTGTACTCCGCTACAATTTATGTGTCTTAAATGAGTTTGTACTTTACAAATTCAGTATCAACCATGCAATTCCACTTTTTCTATATCTGTGCCTCTCCAATGTTCCAAATTTATGGGAGGAGAGAGTATTAAAATTAGAAAATATTATTGCTTAGCAATACATTGTTTTCCTAACAAACTTGAATTAAAATTATCCTAATAGGTAAGTAATAAATAATTAATAATATTGATCAGATAATTATAATATATTATTTTTCAGAAAGCAATAACTACTCTATCTGTCCCATAGGAAGGGTTATACAATTCCTTTTTTTGTTTATCCCATAAAACTATTAAATTGTAATAATATATCTGGAGTACATAATAAATTTTGTACACTGTATCAGGCTATGAGATATACATTTGTAGTTACTAGTCATTTTACATGCTATCAAATAACAAGAAACAAGTAGTTTTACCACACATTATTTTTATTGACAGCCAATTCTATCACCCGTCTAAACTGTTAAACAATCTACTAGTCAGACCTGATAAAACAGTCAGCTAATAGCTAACAGTTGATTATCAAACAATAGCATATTCTATCTTGATCATCATTGGGTTTTTTGGTATATGGTTCATGATCTCAGTTTCTAGTTAATTTGTTGCAATTTCTGGTTATGTCTTTATAATGTTTGGAGCAAATCTCCCCATGTTTGGTGCACCTTATTAAGAAGTCTCTTACGTGTTTATTGGATAATGTGGATCTGCAGGGAAATGCTAGAAAGCTGTTTGAAAAACGGTTTGATGGGAATCACTCGCTTGGGAAACTGTCAAAATTAGGATTTGCTCCATTTCTATGGTGTATAATTTTCCTGCTTCTTGTAACATATATCCATTCAGTCGTCATGGGTAACTTTTCATGGACCACATGCATTTATTTTAACTAATACTACCTCCGTCCCATGATTATCTTCGCTTTACGCAAAACGAAGTAAACTTTTTAGTTTTTTTCAATTCTTTTTATTTAAAGATTAGTATATAAATAAAAAATAAAACTTACATATTTAAAAACTATGCCAAAAGTTATATAGAACAAGTGGTGGCAAGAATATTTTATTTTATCAAATAATCAATGAAAATGCTCAAACAAACAAAAGTTCCCGTGATTTTGGAATAGTGAAAAAGGAAGATAATTTCGGGAAGGAAGGACTATTTTTAAATGACTTTTTGACACACTAATCAAATATGACCTCCATTTTTCCAGCTCCTAATCTACCAAAATTAACTGCTGCTGGTGCTTTATTCGCTTGGTTGGGTGTTTTTGTTGCATCTTCAGGACTTGTTATGTTCTATAGATGTAGCAGGTATGACTGTTAATCTTTTGTTTTCTACACCTCGAATATCAATGTCCACAAAGGCCTATCTAAACCAATTGGTGTTCATTATTTATATAAATTGCTTGTTTTAACATTCATATTGTTTCATTGCATGTCTTGTTACTCCATTGTATCCATAAATTGTTGTTGCTGATCTTCTAAAAAATTCATAAAATAATTTCCTTATGTTTCAACATAAAGACGAACATTATGTCCTTTAAGATTAAGAAATATTAGGTGCATCTATTTTAAAGTTTCATGATGGGCACACAAAAATGGGGCATGCACGAATTATAATATTTGTATAGTTTTTCTAGGTGAAGCTATTATTACTAGTAATTTAGTTACTACGAGTAATTTTTAACGTGCTAACAAAAGAATTCTACTTTTATTACACCTTTCAATTTTTGTGTCGAATCTTGTGAGATATAATTAATTGTATACGTTTTGTCTGCATATTTTGCTCCATGCTACTTTTTAATTGTTGACAAATCATTTATCATCTAAAACAAATCAATTGTCAGGGGTATTCACCAAAATAATCTCTCAACTCCTAGGGGTAGAGGTAAAGTTTGTGTATATCTCACCATTTCCTTACCCTACTTCCAAGTGGGACATATTGGATTATTGGGTATGTTAGGCTTGGTCTGGTTATCTATCAAAGAGCATCCTTTTACTTCATTGTCAGTTTTTTGTGGCTTATTTTCCATCATTATAACCTAGGCTAAAAAAGAAAAAAAAAACAGAAACCTAGCTTCAATTTTGTTTTTTGGGATCGTTCCAACATCACATAGCTCAAGTGTTAAACATGATTATTTGTTTTTGAATGTGTGTTATCCTTGTGTGCAGCAATGATCCAGGTTACATAAGCACAAGCTCACACAATGCACAGGATACAAAAGATGATGTAAGCTGGCCTCCATTTTCATTTCCTTTGACCCCCACATCCACTCAACTCACACAAACCTTAACTAGGGAAGAAGTGGGAAAAACTAACCCAAACTCAATGCATAACTTAAAATAGCTCCATTATTCTCATTCGTGAGTAGCCACTGTCACTTGAACTTGCATCTTTAGTTCACTGAAGTTCCTCGCTCAGGGGAGTTATTCCATCATTATATGCCAAGAAAAGAAAGCCACGTGAGTAATAATTTTCTAATTTCTAGTTAAGATCTGCATTCTAAAGTTTCAATTTTGGTTGTTGTATTAGGAACCATTATTGAAGATTGAAATTAACCACCCTGCTTTGCTGGCGGGAAACTGGTCTCAGCTTTGCTCCACATGCAAGGTAATAATCATTTTTGTTAATGAGTTCTTTCTCTTCATATCATTCCTATTCGAAGCTTTATTGTGATATGTTTGCTGTTATACTTTTACCAGATTGTCCGTCCTCTTCGTGCAAAACATTGTTCCACCTGTGATCGTTGTGTGGAACAATTCGATCATCATTGCCCGTGGGTATCTAATTGCATTGGAAAGGTGATTACATTTGAAATATACCTTTTTATCCCACTAAATTTTCCTCATCCTCGTTTTTCACTTGATTGACTATATTGTAGTATACTATAGACCTATAGTGCATGTAAATATCTGGCTCATACATTTCAGCATTTCACTTCAACTTGACTAATAGTGAGCCTTCTCATTCAGAAAAACAAATGGGATTTTTTCATGTTTCTTGTTCTCGAGGTGCTGGCTATGCTAATAACGGGTGCAGTCTCTCTTACAAGTAAGATTTTTTTCCATTTTTTACACCTGATGCAGATGAGCGAAATTATATGATCCACACAATTTTTTCCTTGAAAGCAAAGTGGAACCTTATTTTGGAACATACCAATAAGAAAATGTGGAACGTGTTTATGGGACATAGGAAGTGAGCATCTTTTTACAAATGATAGGTTTTCAGATTTGTATGCCAGCATGTTCTCTGTGTGTTCCTCAATGGACCAACTAAAATACTTGTCAACACTGCAGGAGTCTTGACAGATCCTATGGCCCCATCTTCCTTTGGTGCATGGTTAAACCATGCTGGTACACAGCATGTTGGCGCCATAATGTTTTTAGTTGCAGATTTTTTTCTATGTTCTGGTGTCACTGTCTTGACGGTGACTCAAGCTTCCCAGGTTTGTGTCTTAATTTTCTGTGCAATTTACTTTCAGGCTTAACACGTTAGTATCTCAGGCATGCATTCTTATTTTGTTACTGTTTAAAAAAGGAATTGATCTGCAACCTGTGGGGGACATGATGTATGCCTTCACTACACACAAACTTGCATTCTTCTCGTGACTAACACATATTACTTGCAGAATGTTTTTGCATATTCTTGTCTTAGCTGGTCAGGATGTCATGCCAATTTTTTACTATGATCCCTAGCATATATGGTTGAATTTTTTGCAACCATGGTTTAGAGAAGTAGGGGATAAGCGCCCTATTGTTTATGTTGGATCTTTTTCCTCCTGCCCCAGAATACTAGGTGCTTGTGTAGTTTTTAATAAAAACAAATATGATATGATATAGTCTCGAGAAGTGCCAAATCAATCCATTTATAAATAATATTCCCTCCATTCCATAATTTTCTTCTCGCTTTGATTTGATTTGACTCTTGTTAAGAAAGTGAACTACTGTGATTGAGATTTATATAAGAATGAGAAACAACATCATTTAAATGAGACAAAGGGAGTATTATGTTATAATGCAGCAATGGTGAAACAAGAAAAGTAAAAAGTAATATTCAAATTTGAATAATAGATTTATGAACACAAAGTATGGACTGAAAGGCAAAGTTGAACTAATAATAAAGGGGATGGAGGGAGTGTATTATTTGATGTAACACTTTTAGGAGATAAAAAACAGCACTACGCTAACTTTACTAAACATTGCTTGTCTTGCTGATATCTGAAGTAAAAGAAGCTTAAAAGCAAGAATCAATTTACCAAATGGTCAGACATTCTACTTCTTTGTTTCTTTTTCTTTATTATTATATACTCCGTATTATATTTGGAGTGGTCATTAGAACTAGTTATTTTAACTTTCAGAAATTCTGTCGAAGCACCTTATTATTCATTGACCACTTGATTATTTTTCTACTCTTGCTTGGATTATTAGTTATTAAGTACTGTCTACACTTTTCGTTTTTTGTGCTGCAGATTTCTTGCAATATCACCACAAATGAGATGGCAAATTCAATGCGCTATGGCTACCTGAGAGGGGCCGGTGGTCGCTTTAGAAATCCTTACGACCATGGATGTAAGAAAAACTGTTCAGATTTTCTGATAAATGGTTACAATGAGGATACCGAGTACAGTGAAGAAGAAGAATCCCCTCATCCTGGGAGAATTGGGATGGTGCAAATGACAATGAATTCGAATCTGCAAAATGGTGTTACCCATTCCCAACAGACCAACGGAAACAACCATGTCGTTATCAATGTGAATAACACAAGTGGCCTTCACAATCATCATCATCTTCACTCTTCTCACTGCAATCATAATAGTAGCAGCAGCAGCAAAAGCAAAACTGAATCGGTACCTTTGGGATTGGGCATAGGCTTGGGGAAAAAATGATACCCGTGCCGCGGTTATTTCGTGATTGATGATGCCTCTTTTTTTCTTTCTTTTTGTTGAGGATGCCATTTTTTTCCAAATGGTTGAAGTTGTTTGCCATATGCCAGTACACAGTCTTTTTGCTTCAGCAATTCAATGAGGTTTGCCTTTTGTTCATTTACATGTTCTCCAACATTGAGAATACTTCATACATCCTCTGTCTATGACCCAAAGTAAAATTCACATTTTTCTTTTCAGTCTGTCCTAAAATGAAGTCAAACTTCTCTTTCATGTTACATTATCTTCCACCTATGTATTATATCATTTCTTATCCTTTTGTTCTCTATTTCCTGAATTTGTTTCTCAGCTTTTGTTTCTAACCATTTTATTAGGGAGTATTTAGATCATTGTTGGACAAGTTCGATTCAAATGTATCATTCCTTATTAACTCTGCTATTTACGTTTTACTTATCATGAACATTTGCCTTTATTTTCCTAAATTTCCTAAATGTTGCCTTTATTCATCAATGCTACAAATTTTTTTTACATCAGTGCCAAAACTTTGTGCGCAGTGAATGACTTCCTCCGTCCCTTTTAAACTGTTTGTTTCGGTTTATGATTTTGACTAGAGTTATTTTCAATTCTCGGTAAAATTATTCTCTTTTGCATCATCTATTTTTTCCTTCACACTTTTTTCACCCTAGGCTATCTTTTCTTACATGCTATCTCACCATGGGTGCAAAAACAAAATTTAAAATGTACGAAGTAATAGAGATCAATCAATTCTTCTCTCCAAAGAATATTATTTCTCTCTATTCTTCTTTCATATATTTCTCACCCCTATCTAATCCATCCTCTCTTCTTTTTTGGGATACCAAATTCCAAATTAAAGAAAAGAATGTTGTGTACTTAATACTTTTAATAGCATGAAGTTTAATAAAAGTCAAGGGCAACCACTATCATGCTATTCAGGTATTTTTTTAAAAAAATTAGTCTTTAGTCATGGCGAACTCTATATTGGCATTTTATGTGTAAATGACTAAAGATAATTGACAATCCGCTCGACTATACACAAGTGTTGGGTACAAATTTCTCAAAATTCGTAAACAAAATGATATCATATGTAATTGTAACAAAATATTTGTAAGCATAATATACTTTTTACTTCCCAACATAATATGCACTATTTGATACTTGCCCTCTCCCAAATTAATAGTTGTCATTTCTTATTTTGAACGTCCCAAAAAAAATTCTCTTTTGACTTTTGGAAAAATTTGTGGCTCATATTTTTTTATCTCTTCCGCATCAGTTTCAACCGTATAATTTTTCACATTTTTAAGCTCTATGTCAAAACAAATGTGGATTTTTAATTTGAGATGGAGGGAGTAATATTCTACGAAAAAAATATTAGTTCGGTAAGGTTCCGTTGATACTGTCAACAGATGACACTTGCCCATTTGAAGTACTTCTAGTGCTCGATTCGCAAAATTAATGATTCATACCCCTAACCCCCTCCCTAAACAGCCCACTGCACCCCATTCCTGCCCCCACCCTAGTAGGGGTTAGGGTGGGGACTGGGGTGAGGGTGCAATGAGGGGTTAAGGGAGGAGATTAAGAGTAAGAACTATTATTTTTACGAACGGATCCATTGACACTAGATATCACTGCCAACGATACCGATATTAGTTTTATCATATACTCCGTAAAAATTAAATTTTGACATAATTTTTACCATGGATCGCACGAGTATAAATTAATCTAGTATTGAGTAAGACACAACAACAACCCTCGTGAAGGTTGAATCAAGATGAAGAGTTAAAAGTAGAGGAAAATTAAAGTAAAAGAATTTAGGCTCTGTTCCGTTCAATTTATTTTTCTAATTTGATCTGATTTTTTGTAGTTCTGATCTGATTTGATTGGATCTGATCTGATCTGATTTGATCTGATCTGATCTGATTGGATCTGATCTAATCTAGTCTGATCTAATTGAATCTGATCTAATTAATTAGGATTTGATTTAAAATTCAAACTGATAATTTGATTTCACTTTATAATAATGTTTGAAAATTGTAATGATAATTCATATTATAATATAATCAATATTTTTTATTTTATGATTATTTTTTATTGAAATAAAATTAGTTAATTCATATATTAGAATAATCATTCATATTATAATGTAATAATATTATTTATTTTATGATTCTTTTTATAAAATAAGAATATTGATTTAATATTTTAATAATTAGTTGATATATACATTAGAATAGATATTTAATTCATATATACATTAAAAAGTAGTTAAATTTAGATAATCAATATAGAGAAGAGATAGTATTTTTATTAAAATATCTCATCCTTATAAAATATCAATGTGTGCTTTGTACTATGAAACTTTTTTTATGATTAATATAACACCATAGATATACTCCAATAGATATTTCAGTTGCACTAAAATATACTCCCTCCGTCCCCCTGTATTTGTCCACTTTTATTTTTACACACCATCCAATGTACTTCTTTAATCCATTTTATCTTGTACTACATCCGTCCCATTCTCTTTGTCCACTTTTGACTTTTGGAACTGTTCATCTAAGCACTTTGACTCATCAAATTCTCTCAATGTGTACGCCTAAATATAGTCATGTGTGATCTTGTTTGATTTGTCTTAACACATAGATTATTAATATATAATTTCTATAATTTTTTAATATACAAATTATAAAATAAAATGGATTAAAGAAGTGCATTAGATGATGTGCCAAAAGGTAAGTGGACAAAGAGAGTGGGACGGAGGGAGTAATTTGTATATTAAAAAATTATAAAATTTATATATTAATAATAGAGTAAATTCTATAATTGGTCCTTTATAACAGGGTGGTTTTCGTATTTAGTCCTCTATTATCAAATATTACCCCTGTAGTCCTTTTTTTAAGGGTGCCTTTCCACAAATGGTCCTTTTTTTGATCTTCTAGCATGTTGATATTAATTTAAAGGCTAAAAGTATAATTTGACGTCAACATTATGTTTAGTGACATATTCTGATATTGGTTAAGCGGATAACATAAAAATAATGACTATGATTGTGGGCTAGGATTCCGACGAAAGACCACATTTGTAGACTATGGTTGTAGTAGAAAGCGACTGTAATTCACAAACGATGGAAACGGAATAGCCTTTGGAATTGTGTATGACAAAAAATATATATTATCATTGCGAAATTACACTTTTAGCCCTCAAATTAACCCCAACATGATAGAAGATCAAAAAAAGGACTATTTGTAGAAAGATACACATAAAAGAAGGACCACTGGTGTAATATCTGATAATAGAGGACTAAACAGGGAAACCCCCCTGTTATAAAGGACCAATTATGGAATTTACTCTTAATAATATATATATTAAGACAAATCAAACAAGATCACACATGACTATATTTAGGCTTACATATTAAGAGAATTTGATGAGTCAAAGTGCTTAGATGAACAGTTCCAAAAGTCAAATGTGGACAAATACAGGGGGACGGAGGGAGTACTCCGTATATGAATGTCAAATGTTAATTTTATTTAAGTCATGATCAAAGTTGATCAACTCGATGTAGTAAAAGATCAAAACTTTAGAAACTCAAATTACAGGTAGCAATAAAAATATATTTTAAAAGTAGAATTAAATTGACATTGTGAATGTATTTTAAAAATAATTTTTTCGACGTCTAATAATTAAGGATTACTTTCTCAGTTTTCTATTTAACTTGTTTCTAAAGTTTATTCTTTTTCAATTTTAAGAATATTAATCATTATAATAATAATACTCCGTAATAATAATAATAATAATAATAATAATAATTCTTAATTAGATCTGATCTGGTCTAATCTAATTGGATCTGATCTGATCTGGCTTGATCTGATTTTAATAAGAATAAAAAAATAAAAAAATAAGTTGAAAAAACGGGTGCCTCTTCGTCAAGATGAAGAGATAAAAAGTTTAAAAAAGGATAGGTAGTTAGGAACCTTTAATGTTCAAGGAAAAGAAGCCGAATATATGCATGCCGACCAAACAAATAAATAATGCTTTTGTCCATTTCCCAAACTACCATTTAACCCGTCTATTATTTAGCATCAAACCAAAGAGTAATGCTCCACCAAAGCTCATTTTTGCACTTCACCAACAAATTTCTTTAAAGTACACAACAAACATCACACTATTCCCATTGCAAAGGTGACCCTAAAAATAAATTCAGGAGTTAATAAATGTTGGATCCTACCGAGAAGTGTGGGTCATAGGCTCCAAAAGCAGAAGAGTGCAAGAACCGACACTTTAAATTATTAAAAAAAAGTTATGGAGTACTAAGAATAGATATTCTAAGTTAAATGGCCACATTAGGCATAAGAATCCCAATTTGGTTCCTAAAAGTTTTACCACTGGGTTTTGTGCAGTTGGCAAAGTGTGTACAAGGAGTAATATTCGAATTTGATTCATAACAACTGCGCTGGGAGGCAAGTATATTATTTATGGTCAGGGCCAGTCCAGAAGTGGGCCGAGCAACCCTACTAGACCGGGTCCAATATTTTAGGTGGGCCAAATATAAATATAAATATATATAAATATAGATATATATTTTTTAAATTATTTTTAATTTATTAAAGAACGGCCGGTTACAAGCAGGGGGCCCGAGGCCCGTTAACCTCGTGACTACCCCGGGGCCCATTGACACCCGAGGTAGATAGCCCACTATAGAAATCCCAAAGTAAGCCCAATCTAAAGCCGAGCCCCATAAGCCCAAATCTACTTCCCAAGGGGTCACTCATCATTTTTGCTACTCTCATGCTAGCACGCTTAACTTCTTAAAATTCCCCCAAAGTTGCCCCTTCTGAAGATCGAACCCGGGTGGTGTGGTTCGTCAATCAACCCTATATAATTACATCGTTCAAAAGTTCCACAAAACAATATGCGACAAGAATATTGTATTTTATCAAATGACCACAAAAAACGAGTAAACAAACAAAAAGTTATCAAGAGGTCGAAATAATAACCGTGACAATTTTTTTGAGACGGAGCGAGTATATTATATGGCCACACTTTGGTATTCTAAATGCACGCACTCTGTTATCTTCTGCACCTTAGCAATAATCAACTCAGCAAACCAAGGCTGAATAAACATACAAGGCAAAAAAAACACTAGCAAACAAATATATGGACACATGGCAAAACCGCACACTGGTTAGCTCACTCGTGGACCTTTTGTTTTTTTGTTTCTCCTCATGATGATATCATCATGCATCACACCCTTTTCTTTTAGCTCTTTCAGTTTCACCTTCTCTCTGTGCACCCTCATCATCAGTACAAAAATTGTCTCATAATATCCCAACTAAGAAATCAAATTTTCTGAAACCAACTTTAGTTTCAAGTAAGTTCCTTTTCTTCTTTTTCCCTTTTATTCACTCATGAAATAGATTCTATTGATACCAACATGTTTGGCCGGAAAAAGAATTAGAAGCAAGATGTACAAATTTGTGTTAATGAGAAAACTCCATATTTGTTGTTTATATATTCTTGGGAAACTAAACTCAGAGCAGTTGATAGCTGATCGTGGATCAGCTTATTCCCAATCCTTTTTTTTTCAATTCCTATTTGATGTTATTACAATTGTTCTTTTTTTTTTTGGTTTTATAAAAGGAAAGTTCAAGTGAGTGGGAACTGGGTAGAAATTGATTTGCTCTTTTTGGCTGTTCTAATAAAGCTTCAAGAATCAAGATAATAAGTGAGGTTTCTTGAATTGCTTCCTTAATGGGTGGCGTTTGTTCGTGGAAGCGAGACTACTACTACTACTGCGCTGACGAAAATCTAAACAGGAGAGGCAGTTCCAGCAGGTACTTCAAAAGCCCGAGTACAAAACGGATGACATCATCTTTCTTTCCACCTGTTGTTGACTGTCGTCCCGAAGGAAGTACTTGCCCTTCCCTTATGGAACTATGCATTCACAAAATTCGAGAGGTCTATCTTTCTAGCAATGTTCTGAGATGTCTGAGCTGGGTTGATGGATATTGTTGTTTTGCTATGACTTATTAATGCTCCCTGCTGTTGTGAACAGGATGTTAGGAAATATGGTTCCTTTTCGAATTTGCCCAGAGATGTCAGCCAGTTGGTATTCAATGATCTTGTTTATTCGCGCTCCCTCTCTGAAAACTCTATCGAAGCTTTTAGACACTGTGCATTGCAGGTGCCCCCCCCCACTTGAAAGACCCCTAAGAATAGAAAAGAGAATAAATTTTGGCTAAGTGTTGATTTTAGGAAATTTTTCTTTATTGGGAATGTTGTTGACACTTTGACAGGATATGCTCCTCAGAGAGTATTCAGAAGTGGATGATGGTTGGATGGATATCATCTCTTCCCAAGGATTATCCTTACTCTCTCTTGACATTTCAAGCTCTCAGATCACAGATGGTTCATTGTTTCTCCTCAAGAATTGTCCAAACCTCGAGTCTTTGACTCTTGATTGTTGTGATCAAATCACTGAAAATGGGCTAAAGCAAGTCTGCGGTAGTTTACACCATCTTCTACTCGGTTAAACTTTGTGGTTATTTGGAAGTCTCAATTCATATGTGCTGAAGTTGGTTATAAATAATCTGGTCCTCAGGCTTCCGAAACTTGACATATTTGGGAATTAAAAACAACATGACAGTTACTGCTGAACGAATGCAGTTTCTTTCTAGCTTAGTTAATTTGGTTAAGTTGGAGTTTGAGAAGTGCCCTCGCCTCCATGGAGGACTTGTTCATATCGAAGGTTTGTTGTCATATTCATCATACCTTTACTTAAACTAGAGACTAGAAAGCTTACTGTTTTCAACCGCATAGAGACAAGAACTCATCTGATATGGCATTAACAATTTACCTAACATTGGCAGGTTTAACTAGACTTGAATGTCTAAACATCAGATGCTGTGAATGCATATTGGATTCAGACATGAAGTCTCTTGCGGGTATATCCACAACAAGCATAAATGGAACTTGCATGTTTAGATATCTTGATGCATTTTTCTGATTTTTATGTTGTGCTTCTTCAGGACTTGTCAATTTGAAGAAGCTGCAGACTTCCTGTGTCAACATAACAGATGCTGGGGTGTTGTATTTGAAAGGTATTATATCCTGTTTCAGTCATTGCAAGTTTATTTGTCTACTGAGTTCTGCTAATGCCTACTACCCAATCCATTGTACATGACAAAGGCTCTCCCTCCAGTAAGTTATGTGTGATTTTACAGTCCCTTAAAAGGACTATGATGTTATGTTAAGTTCAATTTTCGTTTCATTCTGTGTTCTAAATGCATGAAATTTACCTGCAAACCACTACAATTGGAACTCGCTTGATAAAATCAAAACTATGAAATGCATTTCCTACGCTTGATGAGATCAAAAATTGGGTTTGTTGTTGTTATATGGAAGTTATTTCTTTACCAAAAAAATGTATTCTAAAATTGCCACACAATTGAGTGACTCACTTGAGCTTGAGGATAAGGATTCATACTACCTCTCTTCTCTCTCGAAGAGGCTCTCTAACTCTCTATTATAGAAGTTTTCTGTCACTCTAAAAAAATAGCTTGTTTTCTTGTCTTAGATGGTTAGGAAATGAAGGCTCCACCCTATTTATAATATTCTACCCTCTGAATGAATGGTAGAGATTAATTTCATCAAATGGTGAAGATTAGCTCTCTAGAACTCTCCACGCATGCATGTCTAATGTTTGCTGAAGCTATTCTTTCTTTTAATGACTTTCTAATTTATCAATGGGTGTACATTTCTATCTCATCAAACTGTAGCTCTGCTCCTATCTATACTCTTAAACCATTGAGTGTATTTATGTGACACAGTTTAACTACCCTCCAGGTTTGAGCAAGCTTGTTTTGCTAAACATGAAGGGATGCCACATTACTGCTGCATGTTTGGGTTATCTTTCAGGTGCTCTTTTTCTCTAGCTGAAGGTTTTTTGAAAATAGTCTGTCTACCTTTTAAAGTAGAAATAATGTCCGTCTACACCCACTCTTCTTCGACCCGGCCTGGGGACTTTTGTGGCTTGTTGTTGTTTAAAAGTAGCTTGTTCTTGGTTTTGCTGTATTATATTGTGCAGAACTTGGTTCACTTCAGCATCTCAACCTAGGTAGGACCTCCCTGAAGGATGCAGGCTGCGAGAAATTTTCATGTAAGTCGATAGTTATTCGTAGCGAATCTGCAGCGCCTACACATTTCTCCATCTTATGTTTTAAGATTTTTTTTTTCCACCTGCAGTACTGACAAATTTGAAGGTGTTAAACATAGGACATAACAATATCAGTGATGAATGTTTGGCCCATCTACAAGGTTATATCTCAGTCTCTTCTTTCAGCAATTAATGAAAGCATTGGGTCATAATATTTCCTCAATATGGAATATGTTTTCACCTTAATGTATTCAATAGAAAGGGAAATTAGTGAGGAATTT